GTCTCTCTTGCTTAGTGCTACACCCTAGAGCTCTGGAAAGGAGTTGCTGGTCTCCATAACTCCTCTGCCCCTACCTCTTTACAGCGTCAAACAGTTAATTCGTGCAGTCTTCTATCTGAAAGCCATGGTGGTGAGGTACTGTTACAGCACTAAAACAAATGCAAGAAAGCTGTACATAGCTTAAGAATTACAGATCTGCCCCAAGGTTTAATTTAGATCATTAAAAACCACTGGTCTGGATTCCGAAGCCAGCATCTTGCTGTGGCCAGATAACAACCACTGAGGATTAAGGACATAAGGACTATGGAAAAAAACCCCAACCAGAGCAACAGGAGCAAATGGAATAGAAGACAGGGCGATGGATGGTCTCTTGGGATCAACATCGTGTTAGGCAGGATGCATATATACACAATGCCACTAGTTTCCTTCGCAACCTGGGATGCTGTGCAAGTGCTGCCGATGTCCTGCCCCTCTGCACAGGGTGATGGTACAAGTGACTGTTGAACAGATGATGCATCCTTCCTAGAAGGAGCATCTGCAGAAACAGGGTAACCCTTCCCCAGAGCACTCAGCAGCCAAACCAAGAAACTGTTTAGACTCCCTCAGTTCTGGGGACTTCACATGCACTTTATGGGTCCATCTTCTTCCCAGAGTTGGAAGTACCTAATGCTTGGCATCCCCCATTGAGCTCACCACCACCTCAGTCAAACTTCTGTGATTTTTATGACATTCTGGCGTCGGTGCTGCTTCCCCAGGAGTGGGGTGATGTGGCGGGGACACAAAGCAGTTCTGGTCCAGCTGCCAGGCAGTGCCTACCATCACTCCAATGACTATTTACTCTTTTCCCCTGTGCTCTGATGCCTTCATGATTAGGAGCTTTCTCCAATGAAACAAATGGAAGTTGGAAGTACACCATTAATAAAAGGGGAAACCTATGAGAAGTGCTTTTAACACCTGAAGAACATGTTCTGCCAAGAGACTGAAAGCTTTTACCCCTGCTTCTTTTACTATTCTGTGAAATTTTAATGCCCAAACTAGAATGTACATTAATAAATATTAAATTTTGTACCATGCCAAAACAGTGTGAGTTGATGGCATAATGGCATGTCTGTATAACACACAAAGAATGTGTGACAGGATGCACACTGGTGACAAAATACTCATTGACACACGGAGAAAAAGGAATAGGAGAAAAATAAAAGCAGCTCAGCATACGTTCATGAAAATGAAATCTCTCCCTTAAGCGACTTAGCTAATGGGAACTTTTCTTTTATAAAGCATTAAATGTGGCCTCCCAGGTGTGATCATTCCATGAACCCAAATGTCAGCTTCTAGTCACTAGCTGGTATTTGAAACAAGTTTTCCCACTTATTGTGAAAGAGTGGTTATCCCTTGGATAGCTCCCTTTGAAATCCTGAGATAACTGCCCGACTCCAGACACGGTCCCACTTCTCTCACATTCCTGATCCTGAAAGTACGGATGGTTCACCAAAGGGAAGAAAAGCAGAAAAGAAGAAAGTTCCTGAGAACTTTAAAAAAAAAGTAAAAATAAAGAAAGAATGAGGTCAATTTTCACCTATCACTATGATCTCTAAATTGCCTTTAATAAGCTTCTGCAATGAAACAGGGAGCCTGGATTGTGGGCTGCTCGTCTGCAAAGCAGACAGCTCTATCTCCATGCCGTGGCTTCTGCCTCCATCCTGGGCATATTAACTTCATTTATCTTCTCCCACAGACTGAAGAAGAAATAACCAGCTCTTGATTTCAGCACCTGCCCTTTATCTCTCTGTTTATGCAGAAGTCTTCTAAAAGGCTAATTACTCAGCCTGGACTTTCCCTGCTTTCCACAGTACATGGCTAAAAGCATATGCTTAAAATAATGTTAATTATATTGTTTGTCTCCAGTCAGATTGCTCCAGGACTGGAAGGAAAATCTGAGTTAGAGCTGCCATTTCCCAATAATTATTTGCTAAGAAAATGCAGGATATCTTTCCTAATACGCAAATACATATATATATACACACATACTTATTTGTTGGTCCTATATATATACATATGACCTCCTCCTAACATGCCAACTTTGCATCCCAATGTTGCTTCCCACGGTGAGAGGGAGCAGGAGTACCAGGGTGTGCTACAAAACTGATAAGCTCCATTATGCAGATCAGGATCGTGGCTCTAAGTGCTGTTATTTTTAGTTGACGTTTGTTCATGTTTGAACTATGGTCTAAGCAACAGGCTCAAGATCTGAATACACGTAACGCCTCTTGAATGCTCACTTCCTCGACAAAGGCCAAGATAAGCAACTTGAAAACATTCACTATATTTATCTGTGCATACATTAGGTACTTGCACATAAGAAAAAACCCGCCATTGTCTGAGCTGCAGGGAAGCAAGTGAGTAAAAGCACTGATTCAGTCCTCATTCTTCCCAGTCATAACCTATTTGTGTTTCAGCCACCTCCTTCACAGTGCTTCAGCTGAAGATGGTAATTTCTAGGAGGTAGGAGTAATATCTCTGCAGGGTCTCTTGTACTTGAGAGCACTTCAGTATGTTATGGCAAAAGGCAAGGATGCCTTGAAAATTAATTAGCAATTAACTGCAAAGCTGATCTATAAATTCTCAGGATTAAACTCTACAGCTTTGCATGTTGCAATTACATGTAGATCATGTCAACCCAGATAACACAGACCCATTAATTCCTTCACACATTGTCCAAGCTGGCCAGACACAAGCCAACTCCTGTGCAGAAGCTGCTTCTCTGAATTGGCTGTGCCCTAGTCAGCGTGTGTTGGGAAACATGTCCTTTCAGCAGGCAGTACTAGCTGGTCTATGCAGCTCACAGTCGGGAGCTTAGCAATGCGAACAGCCAGGGAGCCTATTGTGCAGGCAAAGTGACTGCAGGTAGGGCTGCTCCCACCCATCCAGACATGCCCAGAGAGTGTCATTAAAGACATGTGGATTAAAGTTTCCCCTTTATTTAGCTGCTGAAATTCCTCAGAGTTGCCAGAGTTATTGTGTACCTATATCTTTAGTCTGATATTACTATGAGTTTGTTGAGCGTTAGAAGAGCTTCCCCTGAAAACCTCACAGATTGAAGAGGGAAGACCTGAGGAACTGTGAGGAGAGAGGTGCAAGGATGAAGGGCATGAAGACTCACAAGGTCATTTCTACAGGAGGGAATCTCAGGCTGCTCATCATTAATCTGTGCAAAGAAAGGATGTTATTTGCATTCACAAATTAATGCATGACGTTACAGATACCAAGGTCAGTGTCACCAACTTTTCTCACCTGCTCTGGCCAAACTGCTGCTCAGCAAAAGGACTTTGAAAACAACGACAAAACCCAGTAGGTAGAATGGGCAGTGTAGAAGAATTATGTGAAAAGTGTCTGGTTTTGCCCCTGTCTTCAAATGCAAATCCTTGGAAGGAGAAGTAAATCACACTATAAGCTCCAGAGCTTATAGTAAGTCACACTCCAGCTCACACTATAAGCATCCTTAAAACTGGAAGTACTCAACTGCACGGTGAGGACTTACAGAGCTCGGCACTCATCAAAAAATTCTGATCCTTTGATTCAAGTGGCAATATAAACATGTAATTGTGAATGCTGTATATTATTAATGCAGAAAATTTAAACATGATAGGATTTCATTCCAGAAACATTTCTTTAAATTGTGGCCCAACGTGCAAATCAATCTGGCACATTAAGTAACAGATAAACCCCTCATTTTCTTGTAAGCTGTGAACTTATTTAGCAATGGCTCTCTGTCAAGAAGGAATCACTGTAGCCTCTTAACAGCTTTTAATTATCTACATGCAAGAGCAAATTCTTATAGAAAAAGCAAAAGGTCCAGTGTTTGCATTGAAAGGATTAAAGTGTAGTAAGGACACAACCCAAAGGGCTGTATATGGATACAACAACCTCGCTGGCGTTACTTAGGCTATTCCTGTACTCAGGACTCGGACTCTAGACCAATCTCTCCCAAAGTAATTCGGCCTGAGCGGCTAAATACGTGCCATCTCAGGGACACGAGGAACTGTAGGAAAGACATTAGTATGTGCAGCCAGCTAGACAATTCCCACTGGGTGTTTTAAAATTACCAGGGTATAAATAAATTACCAGCCGTCGCCAATGGCTGTGTACTCAGTGCGCCTTATCAGATGATATTTTCCTAAAGTTACTGTGAAAGAAATGGGTCTTGAGAAGATGCTTTTGCTCCCTTATCATGGAGTAGAAACAAAAAGGGTTCTGCAGAAAGCAGGCAGTATTTAAAACACACTTGGCATAACAGAAAACCAAAATTCGTTGTGTTTAAAACACACACATAACTCCCATTTACTGACTTACCTACTCATAGAGATTTAATTATTGCAGTATTTAAACATCACACGGCTGTTAATGGATTTTAGCCTTACAAAACCTGTCAAGTTGGTAAATCCCTCACAAGACTTCAGAGATTCTCAGAAGCGAATGGAGGGGTCTGCTCAGGATTATACAAAAACCTCATAATCATGTTGACCAGACTTACAGGTCCTGAAATGATTTTTCCTAGATTGGTTAATTCTTAACTAAAGCCCCCAGAACTTATCTTTGTTGCATTTTATACAGACTCAAACAGAGAAGCAGAACATGAGAGAAAAAAGATTAAGTTAACAACAACAGCAAAGAGAAAGATCAAACTTCAGTTACAGCTTAACTAAACAACGGATGGAAAGGTGAGACTGCATCCTTGATGTTTTCTTTGTCAAAGAAAACCTTGGCCTCAGCAAATTGAAATTCCTCCACGCACTTCAATTTAATAACTAATCAAGAAAACTCACCCAAACATTTAGTACAAATGAGGAATTTAAATTAAAACATATTCACATGGCAATCCACAATGTAAACCCTTATCAGTTGCTATCGATAGGAGAAATGATGTTTTGACATTACGGATATAAAGGGTATGTAATTGATTGGAACAGTACACTTTAATTGACAAGGTCTTGAGCACTTACTCTTAGCCTGTCTTTGGGCAAAGCAACAGCTCCTTGCTTGATGATTTCCAGAACTCGCTCCACTGACAGCTCAGCTCCAGCTTGCTCTAATCGGGAGCTGAAAAAGCTGATCACCTGGAATGAAAAATCAGAGCACGTAAAAAAATTGAAAAGAAGAGATCTTTGTATCAATTTACACACGAAGCTGTCATCTTCTTTCTGTGGATCAATGTATCTGTACTTCTCAAAGAATAATCATGTTATCACTTGTGCCAGGGAGACTTCGTTAATGTCAAACCAGCACAATTACCAGTATCCTCCTGCAATCATTTCTAACAGATAGATGATTTTACAATTTAACACACAGAGCTGAATTAATAAATTTACATTTTCAAGTGCCATGCACTGACATATGCTTATATTTCTACCTGTCAGTACTTCTGCACATCAGGATTTTCAAGGCCTTCCAGTCTTTATATAGTTTGTGCTAGAAATTTGCTTTCATTTTCAAGCCTTGAAGTAAAATCCTTATAGTTTCAATTACTTCTGGAGAGAAGGCCTTAAGAGAAACACTGCATATCTCAATACAAGGGCTTACATGTCTTTCTGCGGCTTTTGTAGCATTCAAAGCCATGGCGATTGTGGGGGGAGCCCACAAAGCTCCACTGATCCCTAAATTAATCACCCAGAAAGCCCCATTACCTTCTCCATCACAGATTCCAGCCCCAAGGACCTCTAAGTTCCCTCTCAACACTCTCATCCTCCACCAGTTTCCCTGGTGAGGCCAAGCTGATTTTCACCATATTTCCCTCCCCACCCCCTTTTCTATGACCCAGCTGGTCCTTGTTAGCTAGAACACAGTTAGGTCAGGCTTTAACTTTTATCCCTGTCCAAGCTCAGTAGGTCACACCAGAAGCAGACATCCCACCGGCAGTTCTCCATGTGGGACATCAGAAAACCTCCATTTCTATAGCTGCTTTCATCTAAAGAGAACAAGCCCCATCCCTTATCCTGGAGGAACTCATCAGTCATGCAGAGGATCTGAAACTCAGTGCAAAAAAGGTAGAGGGCAAAATTTCAGCTCCTATTTAGGACCTATTTAGCATCACTTGAAAGTACCACAAGACGTTCAGAACCATTTAGTAGAGCCTGAATACACGTGAGCACCAGGCTACCCCTTGGCTGGAGTTTGGAGGTTCTTCAACATCTGGTGGGCTTTGGACATGCTCTGTTCTGAAAAGTACTCATGTCCACTTGTATCTGAACCACAGCCTCCAGTATATCAAGTGATTTTTGCTAATTCTCCCAAGTAAAAGGGGGGGAAATGTGTATTATGCTTCAAAATCTCTGCTGAGCTCTCTTTGTTCTGGAGTGAGACACAGCTGGAGCCAGAAACCATTACCCTAATTATGCCTCCAAGCCCAGCTGCTGCTAATAAAACAAAGACAGCTGATGGCTTGATTACTGCGAGATTCAAATTTGTCGTTCCTCTCTTGCCATCCTGAAACCTTAGTCCTTGTTTTAAGCAGGTAAGATTTGCTGGGCCATACAGCAATTTTCCCTAGAAACTTGAAACACCAAGCAAGTGAGATAAAGACAAAAGACAGTTGCTTGAGTTGTCTTTTTTGGGGGTGTTGAGGGGTTTGGGTGGTTTTCTTTGTTGTGTTTTAAACAACAGATGCATGGAAATAGTCAAAAGTCAGGTCTAAACTTCTGGCATTATGATTATCTCCATACTTGAATAGAAGGGAGAATTTCACTGCCTCTGGCAGATGCTGCAGGTAGGCTTTACACTTTTACAGATAAGGACCCGGTGCAGCACTGTGATTTCTGATTCTTGAAAATAAACAGGAGTAGGGAGATGTGCTGAGTTCATAAGCAAAGGAGCTGGAGGGAGGAACCAGGAATTACAGAGGGGAATGGCAAGAAACAGCTTGTGCAAAGAGTGTGAGGACCTTGGAGTAAGGCTGACATGGTTTTGGCATGGAGTCCGGGACAAATTGCTGGTGGAGGATACACAGCTCAGAGAGGAATGAGAAAGTTGCCCACAAACTTCGAAAGAGAAAAACATCTTCCTGCATTTCAACACTCCTCTGTTGTCAGTAATCACTGGTGAAACCTATCCTCGCCCAGGGCAGGCTCATGCAGAGAATCCATCCCACTAGTGCTGCCTTGTTAGCTTGAGTTCTGCTAAACCACAACAAAAGCAAAGCTTAATATTTGGCTTTTAATCAAAAGGATAAAATACTATTATTAAGGCAAACGCATAAAAAACCTGAATGAAGCTCACAGATACTACCTGAATTCTGGTGTTTCCTAGTTTGGAAAGTCAAAGCCTCCAATCTCAACATGTTTTTATAGAAGACTTTTATGTTTTTTGTGGTAAAGGTACTAATCTTGGTTGAGCTGTATTCCACAAAGAACAAAAGTGAGATAGGATTCTAGTATTTTCAGGCTATGTCAGCATTTCACGGAACTTTGAATGGCTTTTTTTTTTTTTAGTACACATTTGACAACTGAAATTAAAAATATCTACCTTAATAATAATACTTTAAGTGTTATTTGCCTTACTACTACAGACAATATAGAAATTGGAGTAATTATCTTTCTAACACTGATTGTACAGTACCTCAATGAGATATGGAAATAAGGAAGAAAAAAAAAAAAGAAAAAAAGGAAGAAAAAGATGAATTATACATAGAGGATTGTAAAGGAGGCATTTGCTTATTGCCATTAGATTGGTTATAAACCAAAAAGCATCCAGTATTACATCCCTACTGGCCAAGCTTCCAACCTCTGTAGCAGAAAGTCTAATACTTTACCTAGTAATCTGACCAAATCGCAAATATAAAAACATAAAAAAAGCTTAACACAATACTAGGGAACAGTAGCCCTTTCCTTTGAAAGAGCTTTAATTATCTTCTAGACATAGTAGCAGAGCTGCATTTAAATAATCATGAAAATTACCAGATTTCAACTCCTTGTCCACTTAAAAATGAGCCAGGAAAATCAAACTGGGTGGACAATATTAAATGAGTTTCAAGTTTTAGCACATTCTTTGAAACCCAATGCTCAGCATATTAATGTAATGTATGAAGAAAACCAGATCTCGGGGCAAATGAATGAGGCTGAGAGATGCTGCCCACTTTATGATATTCTGCAAATTATTTTTCTCATCAATTATTTGGGCAGGCGGTCGAAGAAAATAGAAAATAACAGCAAACACTGCTTCAGAAGAATAACAAGGGATTTAACAAGTCACTGTGAATTACTCGTATCCAATTCATGCTCTGCACTGAGAGGCCCTCTCCATGCAAGGAACATAACCCGTTTTAAAAAACTCCCTCTCTGCAATCTGCCTTCCACATTAACAGAGAATAAAAGGTACGTCTAATCCTGGATTAGACAACCCCTCATCAGGAATATCTTATCAGCATCCAGACAAAATGATGTACGAACAGCACCTTGCCCTATGCAGAGCCTAATGATGGTTGTGCAGGCTACCCAACTGTGCAGTGTGATGGGCATGCAGTGACATGGCTTGGTCATCACCAGTTCTAGGGATTTCCAGGCTTTGATTCCTATGCTATTAATATACTTGAGATCTCTAAACAAACCTGCTTTCTATAGTGATTTCCAAAATCGGTTTTCATAAAGCTTTTCAATTTACGAGGTCAATTTTCCCTAAAAGACCCATCTTTATCCCTTTTGTGTTCAAAACAATAAAACATTTTCAGAGATTAAAAGTGCTACAAGAAAGCTAGAATTATTCAAAAACAACATTTTAGGTTTTGGGGACTTTTTTTTGATATTATGAAGGAATAACCACAGCATCTGTTCTTTCACCCACCTATTGTTTTTGACAGGGGTCAAAGGCTGAAGTAAAAAAAAATTCTGTTTATTATAGCATGCACGAATCAGCAGCGCTTTCAAGGGCAAGATGCTTTCTCCACTTGGATTCTTTCACGGGATGCTGAAGTCCTGCAAGGCCCCAGCCCATTCCCTAACTAACACTACCCCTCCTCGCTTTCTCCTCCAGATAAAATAACAGTGGAATTTGCTGCTACCTCCTCTGCCTGCAAGTGTCAAGGTTAACTCTGAAGAAAAAGACAAAAAAAACCCCCAAACTTGACACCAAATGGAAAAGTCCTGATTCCTTTTTTTGCCCTTTTTCCCTTTGTTTTTCCCTTTGGAAAGGCACATATTTTGACATCGGCTATTTTATATGTCCAGCCATATTCAACACAGGGAGAGTAACAGACTGTATTGACGCACACTGAAAGGAAAAGAAAAGGAAAAAACAAACCTCTTGTAGTAAAGTACCACAGAATTAGCACTTCAGATAAGTAGTTTCCTTAGGAAAACATAAATCGCAGCAATTTTCAGTAGGCAACAGGCATAGCCCGCTATCCTGAAATGCAATGCCAACCCTCACTGATTTAAGAAGGGGTGAAATAGCTTCAGGTGATTCAATATCAGGAGAAACACAGAAGGATTATCAGCAGACTTTAAGTACTGAAGTTTTTCAGATTCACCTTGAAACTAGGAGCATGTTTGAAGATATATAAACTTTTCAAAGTACTTCTCATCTCCCCACTCCTAGCATAGAAAGTGGGTAGGAGTGGGGAGAAAACAAAGCAAAAAGACAAAAATAATCACTTAAAGTATCTAGCCAGGCTCTAGTAATCAGCAGGATCAAGGTTTTTCTATGGGCATTTTAAGGAAAACCATAAAATGTTAGTTCTCATGTCTACTGCAAGTCCCTCCGATGTCGAAGTAGGCTTTGCTGCACCAGAGCCAAGCCAACACAACTGATTTTGAAATCCAGCAGGGAAATGTCTTCGGAGAATTAAATACCTAGCAGAAAATCGCATCAAACAGATCCTTTGCACCATTAAATCATTGCTCCTGACCTGATTTCTATCAGACTATTTTGCAAACAAACTTCTAGCAACTCCTAGTTAAACCTGTTCAACCGCACGCTATCTATCATTAGCTCATAGGAAATATGAAAACAGTGAAAGCCAGTGAGTTCTCATGATGGCCATGAACCAAACTCATCTTTAGGAATTCCTAGCAAAGAGTCTCCACCAAATTCCTGAGACATCTGAGCTTGCTGGCCAAATTATAGACCA